TAATAAAACATTCCACAAGTCTTCCATTGTCAATGCGACCCCAAACTTATACAATTATTTGAGTCAGCATTCGGTTTCATTTTGGCCATTCAAATAAATAGATTGCAATTGTGTTTGGTGGTTTTGTGCCGATAGTGGCACATCAATTATAGACTTCACCTTTAAGAGTTTCATTTTGGTCTCAAAAAAAGGAAAGAAAGAAATTAGTCAGCCCACATAGAAACAGCAACTTTAAGAAAAGTTGGTCAGAAGCTGAATAAATGTGTGGTATGCCTACTCTAGTAGGTAGTGCCTTTAATCAACCACTCAGTTAGGACTACTGGGCAAACGTCACGTCATGCGATTAATATTCATGAGCTAAGCTCATAAGCTTTATATTGTGCTCCCCCCAACACTTTTCAGATCGTTCCCACGCTCCTTTCCTCTAATAAAAATGAATACCAAACATGCAATTAACACATCTTAGCAGAATCATCTGTGAAACAACTAATGGAAAATAGTCTGGGGGAGTGGAGCCTTCTCTTTCCATGTGACTGTATCATTTCCTGCAAGTAAAGTGAGAGATGTTTGGAGTTTGTGCTGGGGACTCTTTGACCCCTCTTCTGCACCCCTTCGACACATCCAGCTGACTAACACCATCACCTGTCAGATATCAGCTTAATTGAGGTCTGGCAGGGTGTGTGTATGTGTCTGTACGGGGGTCCTGGTAGACAACTTGGCATTCTCGTCCCCCAAAACCGCACTCCACCTCCAGCCAGGGAGACTCACAGTTGTTCCCTGAGGGCCGGTCTGAGCAGCAGAGAGAAAGCCCCACAGCAGGCCGCTGACCACCAAGCGTTAGATAGAGCAACAGATCGCAAATCATTTGACCCACGGCCCCTTCAGGGTCCCGGGGAGCAAACAGTGCGTTAACAGTTGTTTAAAAAAAAACGCTAAAAATATCCTCCCTTTCCCTGTGCAGATAACTGGGTGTTATTTTTCACTGGTGAAACGTGTGGAGGTACAAGAAACATCCACTGGGTTGCTGAATCTCTATGGCCAACCCAGCAGGTGTGCTTGAAACCACAGAGAATAAGACTGTGATGAAACACAAATTAACAAATGACCTACAAATGCTAAACAATGTGCGCAATGCACCGTGTGTTTCCATACTAGGATAAAGTGACCCCAAAATCGTAGACTTTCGGACAGTTAGTGTATTAATCTTATTGCTTTAGATAAATTATCAAACCAAGTGGTATTTGCAAAAACAAATTATGCTAGACCTTTTCTCAGAACCTCTTCTAGCAATTACATTTAATTAGCTGGTCCCATGGACATTTTTAATGGATTTATGTTGTCAGTTGTCCTTAAGTTCACACAGATGTAGCCCATCACTTTAAACATACTGAAAGTGTCCAAATGTTTTGTCTTAATCTTGAACAGTATCCTAAAGCAATAAGTAAGGAGAGGCTGTGTGATACAGAGGTTTTATCACAAGAAGAAATGTGACAACCTGAAAAAAAAAAATATACACTACAGTTCAAACGGGGGGGTTCAAACAAATACATATTTGTATTCATCAAGGACACATTGATTAAATGTTAAATGTCAAAGGTGACAGTAAAGACATTTATAATGTTACAAAAGATTCAAAGAATTCAAAAGTTTGTATTCAAAGAATCGTAAAAATCCCCCGATTTTTTTACTCCACAAAATTTGTTTTGTTTCCACAAAAAATATTAAGCAGCACAACGGTTTTCAACATTGATAATAATAAAGAAATATCTCTTGAGCACCAAATCAGCATATTAGAATGATTTGTGAAGGATCATGTGACACTGAAGATTGAAAATTCAGCAATATTTCACAACATTAGTTTTTACTGTATTTTTTATCAAATAAATGTAGTCTTGGGGAGCAAAATAGATTTCTTTCAAAAACACACAAACAAAACAACAACTTCTGAATGGTAGTGTACTGATATTCAATAAACTGCAATACTGTTCACTATTCATGGTTGAAATTATTTGCAGCAAATTTAACAACAGCTTACAATAATTATATTTTGCTTGTGAAGCACACCTATATGGAAGCTTGTTTCCGCCCCAGAATGAAAAATAAAAAAGGTAATTGCGACTTTTTATCTCACAATTCTGACTTTTTTTCTTACAATTGCGAGTTTACATCTTGCAATTCTGACTTTATTTCTCACAATATGCGAAAATATAAAGTCGCTATTGTGTGTTGTAAAGTCAGAATGGCGTGAAATAAAGTCGCAATTGCGTGTTATAAAGTCAGAATTGCGAGATATAAAGTCAGAATTGATTGATATAAAGTCGCAATTGCGTGTTGTAAAGTCAGAATTGCGTGAAATAAAGTCGCAATTGCGTGTTATAAAGTCAGAATTGCGAGATATAAAGTCAGAATTGCGAGATATAAAGTCAGAATTGATTGATATAAAGTCGCAATTGCGTGTTGTAAAGTCAGAATTGCGAGATATAAAGTCAGAATTGATTGATATAAAGTCGCAATTGCGTGTTGTAAAGTCAGAATTGCGTGAAATAAAGTCGCAATTGCGTGTTATAAAGTCAGAATTGCGAGATATAAAGTCAGAATTGATTGATAAAAAGTCGAAATTGCGTGTTGTAAAGTCAGAATTGTGAGATATAAACTATTCTGAGGGGGGAAAAAGTTAGTCTTTTTTGCCCCTTAGAATTGGCCTGATAACTCGCAATTGCGAGTTTATATCTCACAATTCTGAGAAAAGATGTCAGAATTTCGAGATATAAACTCGCAATTATGTGTTATAAAGTCAGAATTGCGAGATGTAAACTCGCAATTGTGAGAAAAAAAGTTCTGTCTTTTTTTCTCGCAATTGCGACTTTATTTCTCATAATTGCGGCTTTATATCTCGCAATTGCGACTTTATTTCTCAGAATTGCGACTATCTCGCAATTGCGACTTTATTTCTCAGAATTGCGACTTTATATCTCGCAATTGTGAGATAAAAAGTCGCAATTATTTAAAAAAAAAAATTTTATTCAGTGGCGGAAACAAGCTTCCATACACCTATGCTATCTTTCTTAAATAAATGCCAATAGGTTTGTCCACTGTGCAGTAAAAGACAGGAAAATAAAGCTGCGCTCCAGAAAAATCTGAATCTTCCTAGTTGAAAATTACCACTTGATCAACCCCGACACAGAAGATAAAAATTTCCAAGATTCTGGCAACAATCATTGAGGAAAACTATTACTGTTATATTACTATTTTATATATTATTGTTAAGAAAAAAGTTATAAACTAGAAAAACAAATCCCACATACTACTCAAGTCTGAATAACTGAATAAAATATTTAAAGTCCCCCTGTGGTGAAAATCAAGCTTTTAATGTTGTTTACATGTTTATATGGTGTTTTTAATATGGTTCAAGACAAACCATGTGTAAATTCATAAGTCAACACCATTTCTAGTGTAGTTTAGTAGTTTCTCCTTAAAACTGCAGTGAAGCGAAGACAGTCTAATAAACGCGGTTTGAAATCGCTTGTGTTTCTGACGTCACAAACAACCTTGTAACCAATCACGTCAACGTGTGATCGTCAACAAGTGGATCTCTGAGTGGAGGCGGGGCTAATTTGCATATTCATAGAATCGCGTATACTAAATGAGGCAGGGGAGTTACATTCAAGCTATTTTAAGGCATTCAAGGAAAAAACATTTCATTTTGGTGATCAAAGATGAGTTTTAATTGATAAAATGATTGACTACAGGGGGACTTTAATAATAAATATTTTCTAGTTTATATTCATATTGTAATTTCACTCATCCCACCTACGGCTGATTTGGGAGTGTGAGGCACTATATATTTAAGAAAAAGTAAACCAAAACTACAAATACAGCCTATTTCTTACATGTATGCATTTGGCAGATGCTTTTATCACAAGCGATTTACATTGCATTCAAGTTGTATTTGATCAGTTCATGCATTCCCTAGGAATCAAACCCAAGACCTAGGCATTGCCAGAGACATTGTTTTCACTTTTTGTCAGATGTTTTTAGTGCAAACACTACACTTTTATGTTTGTGTCATAATTAGCATAATTAGTCATGTTTGACCATGACGTATGACCGACTGGAACGCTTTGAAGTCGGAAATGGCGAATTTTAACCTCAGTCTTCCCCCATATCTGACTTTGTCTGGAGCGCGCCAATCCCACCGGTTTTTCACCGGAATACAAAGGAGTTCTTTTGAGCATCAATTTGAACTCACATGAGCTCTTTGGATTCATATGCTGTGGGTTCTTGTGGTCTGGACAACTTGATTTTGCCGGAACACAGCGTACATAACATGCATAGATGTCCAAGGCTGTTAAGTAGATTAAACATACCTGCAATGTCTAACTAACTTAGAAGCCTTCCTTGAACTTGGTGTCACCCTTGAGCTGTAAGTTATTAGAGTCATTGTAAGGCAATTAATATACAGGACATGATTCCCCATTACAGCTTGATTTCTCTTCTAGGCGGCAGTCCATTACAGTCACCTCTCTTTCTCCTTGGTCGAGCCCACTGCCCACGGTCTGCAAATTAATTCTGTCCAAATTATTCAACATGTCTCACGGCCCACCTCACAGTTTATTCTTATTAGCCAATGCGAGGGGAATTATCTCAGCGAGCTCGTGATATCTGGGTCATTCCATGTCAACACACCATTAAAAGCATCCGCGACATCTACATAGTCTTTCTACCGGATATCATCTGAAGTGAAAGCAAGCTTACACCATGAGAAAATATCGGTTTGCTCTGCAGGAACCCAATAACGGCCTGGCATATTATCAAAAACCTGAGAGGCGGAAGCTCGTGCGAACCGCTTTGAGAATGCAGTTTGTTCAGCTAGGCAACCAACGCTCTGTCCCGTACCGGCCTCTCATGGAGATTTATATGAGAAGCTGTCAGAAAGGCGAACCGAAACACGCAACATGTGGATGCGGGCATTAATTCAAACTCCCTTCATAACATGCTCATCACACCACTGATTCTGCAAGGAACTGTCCTGCGTTCTGCTCTCCAGATGCGAGAAGATTCTGCACATCATCGATCACATCCAAACTATGTAAACATATGGATATGCACATTTGCTGCAATAACTTCCAGCTTAGCCATCACAGTTAGCTCTACGTTGTTTTCAGACAAAACGACCATCTGACTGATGTGCGAGTGGAAAAGTAAAAGGCACAATATTAAAACCTCATCAATATTCGCAGAACTTACTCTGTTGGTTTAAACAGGGGTTTGCTCCCCAGTCTAAACAATAGCCTGTCGTCCGTCACCATGCCTTTTCTCAGAAGGAACTTCTCAGCTAAATCGAATCCTGTAAACAAGAGGAGAAAAAGAAAAACATACATTACATTTATGCATTTGCCAGTCCAAAGCATTTGAGTGTAAACATTTTGGGAATTGAAAACATGACCTTAGTGCTGTTAGCACAATGTTCTGCTAAAGAACCAACGTTAGCTTCAGGCTAAAGAGATTTTTACTAAATGTTGTCCCATACAAACTGCTGAACACGCATTTGTAGTCTGTTATGGGGAATGATTAGTGTTAGCAAGGCATCACTGTATTGTTATTCATCAAAAATTCTGGTTTTATGGCCTGTCATAAACCTCTAAGTATTAAACTTCTGCAATTTGTACAGACTCCATTCAAACTTTATTTTGTAGATCATTGCAGCCTTTAGACACATTGTTTTGATACACTTTATACTTTTTTGATAATCTGACAGAATAGCAAATCTAACACACAATCCATGGCATTGTGATATTTGCATGTTCTTGCATTCATTTGTATATTAAATAGTGATTGTTTTTTTCTTTCATGCTATCTATTGAACCATTAACAATACCGTTAATAGTGTAAAACTTAAGTTTTTTTGGAATAAATGTATAGTTTTATTTAGCAAGTATGCATTAAATTGATCCAAAATTTCTACTTCAAATAAAGCAGCGCTGTTTTTAACATAAGAAATATTTCTTGAGCGCCAAATCAGCATAAAAGTTTGATTTCTGAAGAATCATGAGACAGATGAGAGTAATGGTTCATTACACACACACATTGCATTGTAAAATGTATAGGTAGATGCCACATCCGACCACTCCAGACACTTCTGCACGCCCACCATTTTGGAACTGTCAACGTGTCGTCACTCACAGTAAAAATCAATGATGCCACAACATTGCGTAGCTTCTGGTTGTGAAACCGCCTAGATTTAAATTCCTGAAGAAATGGAATAACCTTTCACAGGTGAGAATGTGTTTTTATATGTATTAGAACTTTTAACTATGGCACTTAATGTTTTTACTTTTACTATGGTCAGTTTTTAATGTCGTGTTAGCTGACGCCTTCATCTTGTTGTATTGTGTTTGTTTAGCAAAATCATACATGGTTCTAACTACGGCAGACAGACAGTCAACTTGCTCTTGAATGTTCACGTACCGCCTTTGACCGTTTCAATATGGCGGACGGCTTACGTATAGTGGCCCTCTCAAAAACTAAGCTTACCTACAACAGAATTCATTAGCTGGCTTGCAAGAACTGGTATTTCTTCAGGAAATGCTAAATTAGCTGTACAAACTGCTCTTGTCAGCTTCAGCCATGTACAACATTAGGGATGTTTTAAACAGCCTGCAGTTTGATGTTTAACAGCACTGCATACGGATGAGCTGTGCTTGATTTCTGTTTGTATATACAGTGTATCTTTGTTTGTACCTGTGAATTCTCTGTGAATGTTCACACTGGTATGCCATATCTCCTCCAGCTTTAAGGATGGACATGTATGATCTGCAGAAGAGAGGAATATTATACATTAATGAAGCAATTGAACTGTTAAGGGTTTCAGCTTGTTTACAGTTGTCACATTTTACTACAGATAATATTTCTCAGGGTAGGTTTATTTTTGAAAATATTTTTTTTTTGTATGACATACCTTAAAGTCTTGGCTACAAAAAAAAAGTCATTCCAAAAATTCTTACACAGGAAATGATGATTTACTGTAAAAACTTTGATTAGAAGCAAAAAAACAAAACAAAAAAAAAGTATTTGAAAATCAGACGTTGCTTTAAAGAAGGAAAGAACTACAATTCCAAGGAGCATTGCAAATGACAATCAAAATAAAAAAAATGATGGATAAATATAAAACTATTGATTTGATTGAAATGATTGAATATGTTGATTGAAGATGTTGAAACAATATATTGAACATTTATTGGAAAATATGCATATTTATATACACATATTTAAATAGTTTGTGAGCATACGGAGACTGACTATTAAAATAATTTGCAGAGCTTCATGGAAGTGTGCAGGCGGTTATTTTGGTGTGATTTCCCGGTGGAATTTGTTCAGAATCATGGTTAAATGTAGGTTTTCATCAATAATTCTGCTGTTATACATGATTCTTTTAAATAATATGAGCTGATGGCTTCAGACAAAAACATACATCAATCAACAACCTTGTAGCTCACAGTCGGTCTGTATTCAACAGTTTATAAGTTAAAGTTAAAAATCAATTCCCCAATGGAGAAAATAAATATGATTTTTATCTTTATTTTCTGAAACCCCACTTGTTTACTCTATTACAGTCTTTTCATTGAAGCTGAGCCAGCAAAACAACTATGAAAAAGCAAACATACTATACAAATGTAACATCCAAAACCATCAAACCATTGCTTTGGTTGACAGATATTGTAAATTAATAAACTGTGATCAAAATTGCAAAATGACAACTTGCCCCAACCTGCTATTTATTTAAACCACCCCGTTCAACACAATTACATTTTTGAGTCAAAATCCACCTTTGTTATATAGCTGATTTAATAATTCAGTAGTTACTGAAGTAGTAGACTTGTTACTGAGACCCCAATGACCCCTAGCCCGGTCAACCCACCAATGACATTGGCAGCCTGACATTGCTGAAGGACGAATTCTTCTTCATCAAGAACAACTATACCAAATAAAGAGAATGCTCACACAGACACAAATGAAAAAACACACAAACATATCTCCATCCACAGCCGCACACCCACAAAACACAGCATTAACAGGAAATTCCAAAAATCAGCACATCTGCTGGCAAACTGCCGACTCTTAAGGAGTAGGAGCACATGCTGTAAATCCTCTCTAAATCTCTTCCTGGATGTCACGCTCGCACAGTGGATCACGGGAGATAGCAATCCACTCAGCTGGCAAAAATATTGCTTGCCTGTCCTCTTGTTCAGGGGACTCTCATTCGTGGGCATTTACACTGTGCAATAATATTCCTTAAATCGCCCCAGGTTAATCTGAATGGGGCCGATAAAGCAATTCTATCGGACACATAACACCACAGCGGATGTGTCCTGGTGCCTTCTGACTAATGCCACCCAGGTCAAGGGCTTGACACCATGTCCTCGCAAGAAGGAATTTCAAATAGCTGTGCAAGAGTCCCTGCTTCTTAAAGAAGGGCGAGACGCCTTTCATCACAAACAATTCATTTGCATACAAGGATTCCAAACAAGAAAGCCGAAACAGAGCGCTAATTAAAGTCGATGACAGGGGCGCTCTGCACCCCGAGCGGTGAAGTCAACATTGACCTCTCGTGCGGAGACGAACAAGGCTTGGAAACCAAACAGACGTAATCTCTTCTAATCAAACCTTTTGTAAACGGACAAGAATAAGCAAACATCTTAGTGACAGCATACGTACCTATTCTCTCATTCACTGCCATTCCTGAAGTAAAAGGAATGGAATTTACGATCCACAGGAAAACAGTCCATCTGAGATAGTGATTCATGTCGTCTCTGGCACATGAGAAAGGGCCCCTTGAAAACCTAGAAATAGAAAACAACGTCACTTTTACAACTCTTTGATGCTCTTCTGGGTAACGCAACACTTGTTACTGTCTGTATGATGACTGATTGCTTTTCTTTTTGATGTGCCTTCACAATTCAGTTCCTTTTCATTAGGTTTTACTGATAAACAACATTTGAAACTAACTTGAGCGTCCTATAATCAAGGATAATCACTATCAAATGGATATTAGCTACTCTATCTGATAAAATAAGCAGGAACAGATCATGCTGTGTAAAAATCATCTAGCACTTCAATTATGTGGTGAAACGTCTTAAAGCAAAATGTCAAGTGTGACATTTCACTCCTCAGAATAAACTCCAGGCCAGAGTAAGTTTCCAGCATGAGGTGCTTCTGGGGACCCAGTGCCAGATTCCTGTAAACTAATACGATCCGTTACCCACCGCTGACTGTTGTTATTGAGCTCTTAAGTAACAGGGCAAACAAATTGCGCTAAATAATTAAACACTTGTGCTATGGAGTTTTAAAACACATGCAGTTTTGCAGGATACAATCATTAGTGCATCTCATAAACGTGGAATAAAGCGGTTTGTTGTGAGCTTCAAACTCAAGTTCAAAGTTTGAACTTTCAAGAAAGCAATATGATTTAAATTTGTGATATCTAATTAAAGCCAGGAATATTTTGTGAATAGAATGCAGTACTACATGGGTAGTGTAGTTTACACAATGTAATGTAGTGAATGAAAAAATTCAACCCCTAAAATAAAAAATAAAAATTAATTTGGAGTTCATTGCACTTATTTAACCACTTTTAAATGCTTTACTAATCAATAAAATCAAGCAAAAACTTATATCAATCAAAAATGACAATTTTTTGTAAAAGATAGATGGAAACCTATTACCGTGCTATTCTCTGATCATACAAGCGGTTCTTATTGCGCTATGTGGAATATTTGTACTTTTAAAAAGGAATTAAACACTTTATGCTTTCTTCATACTCATTTAAACCTAAAATATTGATTGTTAAAAAAGCTAATCTGCATGTTGTCAACTAACTGGTACACACTAAACAGTCATCTAAATTAGAGAAACGGTATAATTTTATCAATGCATTTATCCAACGTGAAGTTAAAACTAGAGTGTTGGTATCAGTATATTAATCCATCAATAGGCTAATAGTGCTCAAACGCCACGTGCACTTGTTTAATAATAAATCAAAATAGCTTCTTAAAACTTAATCCAAACTGACGAACAATAAACAACAATAAAAACATACAGCTGATGCCTAAATGTGTCACGTGCGTGGTCAAAAGCTACTGTTTACTGCAATTTCTCTGTGTAACCGAATGATGATATGACGATCTCTCTCTCTCCCTCTCTCTCTCTTCTTGAAGTACACGAACGCCGACAGCACAGGACTCACAGTGGCGTGTTAAACTCAGATGACATCAAACATGATCATTTAAAAAATGACACCGCACGCATACTGTGCAAAAACACCTACAAAGTCACAGCAACCGAGACAAATGAACACCGGCTACTTACATTTGCTGAGAAAGTTTATTATTCCAGCGTAAACACACAGCACAAGCAAAAATCCTGTTGGGCTAATTAGCGCATTTTAGGCAGCTATGGGTCCAAAGCACACTTGCAAATAAAAGTGAGAATGAAAGCTCGTGCAGGAACCGTGTCCTTATTTGTCGCACTGCCTGACCCTCCCACCCACTCATTAGAGAAGCACACATCAGGACGGACAGGACACTCTCAGGGGCTCCCTGTGGAACACGCTACAGCACACACAGGGTACTTCACCAATAGCAGGGAGACTAACTTTTCTTTTTAATTAGAGGTCAACATTTTAAGAAAAACTTTAAATAAAAAGTGAGAACATTTATATTTTATGTGCTTAAGTTTTTCCACATTTTTTTTTAATTGTATAAATTTTTTATTGTTAATAAAATGTCAACTGCAAGTATAATATTTATAATAGAATTTAACAAAATATAATTTGATGAAAACGTTGTGGGAAATAGTGGAAGTACCTTTTAAAAAAGCATTTTGTAATGTAAAAATTACATTGATTTTGTTTGTCCATTAATATATAGGCTATTAATATATACAGTATTTTAACGGAATTCTGGATGGGATTTTTATTATATTATTATAATATAATATAATATAATATAATATAACATTACATTACATTACATTACATTACATTACATTACATTATATTAAATTATATTATATTATATTATGTTTATGTTTATGTTATATTAAATTATATAATATTATATTATAATATAATATTATATTATATTATAGCCTATTATAGCCTATTATATTATATTATAGCCTTTTTATTATATAAATGAATGAAACCAGACAGCGTTACTCCATTTCATCAGCATAGGATATAACTCTATTTCTAGCACATACTTTAAAAATCTCAAGGCAACCTTAAAAAAAGGGATTTCAGCTAAACTGTAAAAACAATATTTGATACACATAACAGCGCAATTTGAAAGATATGGAAATATCAGCCAACGGTTTGGCTGACAAACATTTTAATTAAATGTAAAAACTTTAAGTATTGAAGTAAAAAAGTTAAGTATTGTCTTTTATTTTGACGTTTATATAGCTTTTATGTTGTATGCTCTGTCTTGTCCATGTTTTACTTTTTATTAATCCTGTCTTATTGTTGGTCATTTTTTATTAGTTTGTTTGTTTTTTATAATCATTGTTTCAGTTGGGCTTGTTATCTTGTGTATTTCATTCTATAAATACCACAAATATATATATTTTTTAAATAACAATTTATTACTAATTAACATAAATTAAAATAAATAAATAAATATAACTGAATAAATTATTTATTGCGAGTTTACACTGCACACACAATGCTTGCAACAAAAAAGCTTAGGATTTGAGTCAAAACTGAAAAATAACACTACAAATCCACAATATATTGAACACAAATCTTTAATATGTGGGAGATTTGTTACGGTGTTTGTGGTTGTGTTACTCAAGATATGAATTCCAGCACAGTCTATGGAGTTATCTGTCTGCAACCTGTTAATTCCTCTGGATGCTTTTATATCAATCTTCTACTTTTTAAAGGACTATTCCTTTGAAGCAGGGATTTGCAGTGCATTGTAATATCTCACCTGACCATCTGACTCTTCTGACCACTTTTGTGTTTACACAAGGCCCTCAACACTGATGAATAATGAGACACATTTTTAGGATTGTGTTTGTATTGGCCTTTTTAGTGTGTCTCCACACTACCATGCACCCCCCCCAACCCAGCTGCTTTCGGAACAGCTGTTTCTCAGACAAGGAATCAATGAGACTTCTCAGCTGTGATTCACTTGCAGACTTGCATTTCGGCTGTGATAGCATCATAATGTCCCCTGTGTTCTGTTAAAGAATGTCCCACCATCAAGAAACAACCACCTTAAGCCTGGAGATGGAAATTTCAGAACTAGAACAACATGTAAGAAAACATGCTGGCCATGCTGACCCAGAATCAAACTTCCCTGCCTAGATCAAGATCAATATCTCTTGTGCTTATTACCCTGGGTGATGACAAATACAGTTTGAGTATACACTAGTGAAAATGCTAATATATATATATGGATGGAAACGCCAAGATGTGCATAAATTCTAAAAATGCGCATAATAAAACGTATGTGCTCAATTGAGTCGGATTCTTGAAAAAAAAAATTATCCGTTAAGAAATTATACATAAACTACAATGGAAACACAGTTACAGAATAAATTCCTCAATGCGGATCAAAAATGTAATGTGAGTTTGCGTAATGGGACCTCCTAACTGAACTAACCAATGGACCAATCTTGTTGCAAAGCACCTGAAATTTTGTTTTGGTTGTTCTGAAATGCCTGAACAAAGTCTGTTGTCAAAGTGGTTTGGGAACACAGTCTTACACGACTGCATTCCCAAACAGTGGGCATGTGAAAGCAAGATAACATGATCACGTTTATTGCATTTCATCTGCACGCTCTGAGGTGCAAGTAATTTATTATATCAAAAATTATTATTTACAGTGGTTTCTGCCACTGAAGCAACTTCCTTTTTCTTATTGACATTCAGCATCAGTTTATCAGGAAGTGACGTTATTGTTCTCTTTGGCTCACTGGATGGAAACAGTGCTTTATTCGTAACTGTTTTATGCGATGTTTCCCATTTTGCACATAAGTTAAATTCGTAACTTTGAATGGAAACACACAGCTTCTTAATTATTATTGGTTAATGATTCTGTTCGTTCAGTTCCCTTCATGATCTGTTGCTATGGTTACTCACTGATTTAGTACTTAGTTCAGGTGTTCCTCATTTGATTAGACTTGTTTGCTAGCTCTATTTAATCCTACAGATTTAGCATTCATATGCTCAAGGCCTGTTTTCAGAGGGACTGGATGATGAATCAGTTTCTTCCTTCCGGTAAATGCGGTACTTCCTTGGTTGATTATTAACTATTTCCTCTGGTTGAATGGTTCAGATTTTGTTTTTGAGGAAGTGTATGAGGACAATGTATTCCATCATCCAGTCCCATTCTGAAAACATTTGGGCACTCCTGCTCACTCCGAGCCTTTGCCCGAGCCCCCCATGAACCTTATCACCCCCTCTCCCAAATCCGCTTCAGAGAGTGAAATTCCCAAATCCGCTCTAGTGAGTGAAATCCCAGAGTCCTTTCCATTGAGTGAAATCCCAGGCCCTGTCCCATTTCTCCCCCCTTTAAACTTCCACTTGGTTTTGAGTGCCCTCGAAAGTAAAGTCCCCTCAACGAGGGAAGTGGAGTTGAAGATCTTTCCCTATGAAATGGGACACCACTATATGCAAATTAGCGCGGCAATCCTCAATACGTCACGCGCAGCGTCAAAGTGTCTACTACTTCTACTACTATTTTCATTCATAAAATTGCCGGTTCCAGTTGTTGTGTTGCCTGTTGTGTGGGCTGTTTTCGTTTATCTACATCTGATGAATCAACAGAGAAGACATGTGGAATATAGAAGACGCATTTCCGGTAATTTTGCCATATATTTGTTTGTATCTGATCGTTTAGAAGCGCACACAAAACCCAAAGTTTGCTTGTCTAACAATAGTTGCAATCCGTTTCCGAACGCGCGCGCGCCGCCATGGGAACCGGGGCAACGTCTCTTGCGCGGATCATTGTGCTTTTAGTAGCTGTTTTTACCACCAACGTCCCGCAATTTAGAAACCGCAGACACGGCACTTTACAACAATCACCGATTGTGCTCAGTGCTGATTCTGACGTTAGGTTTGGGTTTAGAGAGAAATGACAGCGCGCTGTGAAGGGAAGATGATGCGCTAGACGAACGCGGCTAGTTTTGAATAATTTTACCTCACATATCTTCTTTTTATAATCCTTGGAAGCCAAAATCGAAAATAAAATTAGATTAACTAACTTACCCAGATCAGATGTATATTTGATTTGCTTTTGAAGCACTCGGCAGATATCATATGAACATCGTCAGATAGCTTCGTGAAATATTTTCTAACATTAGTGTTGAAAACTCAACAGTCCATTGGATGTGCATCAAACTAACATATTCCAACATATTTCGACATTTTAACATGCGTATTTGCGAAAATATACTTAAAATAAAATTGTTCCTTTCCAGCGGTGTCCGCCATCTTAGTTGAAAAATTTGACCGGCTCGCTGAGTTCGCAAGGTATCCTGGGTAATTTCATCTTCCACTTCGTTTTAAGCCTGCATCGGACCGCACTATGTTTTGAGGGTTGATTTTAAGGGGAGAATAGCACTCCCCCTGGCTCTTTGGAGTATTGGGACACCCTACCCCTACACGAGAACGCGCAAAAACAAGGGTTAGGGCAGAAATCTAGGGTAAGGGGAGGTATTGGGACGCAGCCCCAGAGTCCATTCCAGTGAGTGCAATTCCCGAGTCTGTTCCTGTGAAATTCTAGAGCCTGCTCTTCCTGTATCTTTCTCTTCCTGAGCCTGGTCCTTTCCTTGTATGTTGCTGCTACTATGTGTGTCTAGGCCACACACACATGCCTCCAGTCTTCCAGCCAGGAGCCGCAGAGCTCAGCCAGGAACTCAGTTGGATCCAGCGATCACTGAGTCAGAAATAACATCTGCTCTGTCACTGATGGCAATGGCTTGTTGTGTTAAAGCAACACCAAGTAACTTTTCCTCTGCGGTCGCCCTACAGGTTGGAAGCGGAATTGTCCATTACCGCTGTCGTAAATAATTTAGCCTACCACAACCTACTGTCGCACGCATGCTCGTTGTTTATCCAGCACCGGCTTTGGAATGAACGATGTCCACAGACAAGGTAGAGTATGTTACATGATTTCATGAAAGTATGATGTATTGCGACATCAGAAACGAAGAAAAACAAAATAATGACTATTGTGACACTTGACGTAAAGCAAGTCAAATTTGTAGTTTTCTTATGTCTCATTAGAACTACAGAAACGCGACCCGATCTGGCAATCTTACATAGCGTGGTTATAGCAGATATAGGACCGCAAAGCGAATCCAGAAGTGGCTTTCACCCTGTTATGACTTAATGAACCACTGAAACGATTTGGAAACGTTATTTTAAGGTAAAAAAATCTTACTTAGTGTTGCTTTAATTACAGCGAAGTTATCACCTCATTGCTGAGAAATATAATGTAGCGTAGCTTTCAGTAGTGAAGGTGTTTTATTT